AAGTTGAGTGCTGTGGGTCCCCTGGAACCAGAGTTACAGGTGTTTGTGAGCTGCCGGGTAGACACTGGGAATCAAACCTGGGTCCTCTGCCAAAGCACCTCCAGCCCCAAGGGCTCTGCAAATTTTATTTGAGGAGGAGGAGGAGGAGGAGGAGAGAGAGAGAGAGAGAGAGAGAGAGAGAGAGAGAGAGACAGAGACAGAGACAGAGAGAGAGACAGAGAGAGAGACAGAGAGAGAGACAGAGAGACAGAGACAGAGAGATAGAGAGACAGGGAGGGGAAAGGAAGGAAGGAAGGAATAAAGGTAGGCACTCGAACACAAACATGGCCCACTCCCTTCAGATGAACTACCTGCAGTCCCAGCACCAAGGAAGGCTGAGGCAGGCGAACTAGGTAACACAGTGAACCCATCTTTTTTTTAAAGATTTATTTATTTATTTATTATGAATACAACATCCTGCCTCCATGTCTGTCTGCATGCCAGAAGACGACACCAGATCTCATTACAGATGGCTGTGAGCCACCATGTGGTTGCTGGGAATTGAACTCAGGACCTCTGGAAGAACAGCCAGTGCTCTTAACCTCTGAGCCATCTCTCCAGCCCCCAGTGAACCCATCTTAAGTGAAAAAATAAATAAATAAATAAGACCAAGATGAACTTCCCTTCACATATGTTGAAGTTAGAGATTCATTTTGCTAGAATTTTTACATGGAATGAGAAACCCTGCCTTACATCCGACTGTCAGAAACACATCTCACCCCTTTCTGCATGGGTGAGACAAGTGGCAATAACGCCAACATACTACAACCTAGCTTGCTCTATGCCTTCCCGGAGCAGCCCATTCCAGCTCTTCGGGGGCGACTAAAGGGAAGTCACTTTACACCCTGTGAATTCAGTCATACATTGAATGGGGATGGCTTTCAACTCGGAAATCCGGCATCTGATGTCGTCCCCAAGAACCTGTACGGAGGCTTCTTTTCTCTTCCAGAGTGAAGCTCAAAAAAAAAAAAAAACCCACCCCTCATATAGCACCCGGCTTCCAATTCCACTCAACAAGAGCCAAGCAATGGGAAGCCTGCCTGGTAAAGCTCACTTTTTTTTCCCCTAAAGTCCCTACTACAATTTTTGAAACAACTTCTCCACATTCCAAAGAAAAAAGATGGGCAGTTTATAAAATTGTAACTTTCTAGCAATCCTCCAGTTTCTTGCTGTTGACTGAGGCATTGCAATTTGCTTTTAATCACTTCACCTTCCCATTTAAAAAAAAAACCAAAACAGAAAACAAAACAGCGAAACCAACGCTCAGAGCTGAAGCTGCCCAAGGTGGCACAGTCAAGCTATGAGGTTATAAGGCAACACTGAAATTCTCCACGTTTACACTGTACCCTAGTGAGCCCATGCCAAGTAGTTCCAGATACAGTGAGAGCCGCTGTGCCAGATGCTACACTGGCCAACCACCCTTCCCCTTCCCCTGGAAGGCATGGCGGGAGTGCTAGCTGGGCAAGCCACTGCCCCAACAGCTTTGCACACAGGGCTGCTGGAAGACAGCGTGTGCACCGGGCATGCACAGACACACACACACACACACACACACAGAGAGAGAGAGAGAGAGAGAGAGAGAGAGAGAGAGAGAGAGAGAGAGGGAGGGAGGGAGGGAGAGGCAGGCAACAGGGGCGGGGCTGAGCAGAAGAGGCCCAAGCACAAGCCATGCCAGGGGTTTAGTCAACAGAGAGCTAATACAAATCAACAGTGGGTGCCACTGCCAAGCACAGTAGCCAGTGGGATCTGCAGCCACATTCATAGAAGGAAAGTGCCTGGCTCCCTCAGACCAGACCACACCTGAAGGCTGCACATGCCTGGACTAACAGGAGGGAGGTGCCCTCCGTGGCACGGCCAGGTTTCTGAAAAGAAATGGCTCTAGGTGGCGGCACTCTCCGAATGCCACCTGGAAGCTGGACTTGTACACCAAGCCTGGTTTGGAATGCACATTATAGGTGGGGGGCGGGGGGGTTTAAAAAGATCTTCCTGTTCCGATGTTTTATCCATAACCGAGAAAGCACTGTCTACATGAAGGATTCAGAGCATTCAGGGACGCCTGGCGGATTCAACCAAACCAGACCACCCAACTCCAAGTCTGTTGGAGGGGACGCACTAGGAAAATGATGGCAGTGTCTTCCTTTATTAATTATGACTACTGGGCCATGGCTTTGCCAAGTGACCGTGATTTAAGATTCTATCGTTTTAAGCATCAAAAAAAATTTCCAGGAAGTCCATCTGACCCCACACTTCACACACCCCACCTCAACCTTCTGTAGTGTTCCACTAGGGAGTGTCCCTCCTATTAGCATCACTCAGAATACAAAACTGTCTTCCCAAACGTTGTCTCCCAAGAGCCTCCAGGCCATACCTCACTGACCTTTGTGTTTACAGCAAGAAGCCCAGCACATTCGAGATACCCCATAAATGATGAGTAACCGCACTGAGGTGCCACAGCCTGGTCATACTGAGGGTGTTACTGTGTTTGAGGCCATTTGAGAACACATGCGTCTGTCCTAAGAGGGGCTAATAAAAAGGTTTATGACAAGACATTACCACTTTTGTACACCGAGCAAAGGAATTCTTGAAGCTAAGGCCACCCGAGGGTTTTAATTACAAAGGAGTCATAGACTGGCCAGGTCCCCAGGTCTCTGGAAATGATCCAGTACAGAAGGGAGCTCAGGGCTATCGGGTCAAAGGTAAATTCTGTCTGTGTGTGACAAGCAGCCAGGCAAGGCCAGAGCCCAGGAAGCAGTAAAAACCCAGAAACTGCACAAGAAGCATGAGGGGGGGGGGTCAAATGCCTAGAAGGAAGCACAGAAAGGGGACTGGGTAGAGCTGGGTAGACTGGGGTCTAAGGAGCAGCACAAATGCTACAAATTCACAGGGGAGCCTGAGAATTTAGCCCAGCACTAAACCTCGCAACTGGGAGAATTAATGGCAGGAACTAACACTCAGCTCTGGGAAGACTGGTGGAGGGGACTGAGTGACAAGTCTAATACCTAATAAATCTTTAAATCAATGAACCATGTTCACTGGTGATTTTTCCTCATCTCTTCTCCCTGAAAGCTCAACACGATGAAGCCAGCATTGGCTTTTTATTTTTTGTCTACGGACATGTCGCACAGTCTTACCTCTGTATGAATAAATAAAGCTCGGGAGCTCACTAAATCGCACGTCTTTAAAAAGGCATCGGAATATCTGCCATCAAAAGGAAACTGGAGATGGAGGAATTCTTCCTCCGTGTCCTTTTATAAAAGGGGGGGGGAACCTTTCAGGACGCCTGTGTTCCCATCCCCCGCAGCCCCACCAGCCGCAGTAAGTCAGCATCCCAACCTGTTCATTTGCTGTGCCTGTGTGGATCTCTTTAGTACACGGGCACTTTACTCCGTTTGCAATTTTTCATCTCAGAAACACCACTTACAGCCTGTCGCACAAACCTGACAGTAGCAATACATTTTGTAAGCCAATTATCCCTGGGGAACAGACGAGAAAACCACCCGGCAAGGAGCACGAAGAAGTTCCCAGGGACAGCATTCCTTTGCCAGATGCAAACTGCGCCACATCCTCTCCCAACCCAAGCTGCCCACTCAACTCGCCTGGCTCCCCGATCTCAGGCTGCCTCTCCCGGCTGCGACAGAGCTGGGGAGCCTCATTCTTGGGGAGCTGGGACATGAATGCTTTTTAAAAGACAACAGCTCTGGGCTGGGGAATGTTGGCACCTCCTCTATGAAAGGGCCCGGCAAAGGTATTTTCATGACAAAATGCTCTCCCGTGGAGTACAAGGACCACAAAAATTAAACTGCCACAAATTGAAACTGTCTCCAAATTAAGCCCACACGAAGAAGCATTAGAGCCAGGTCAAGTAGGCTGATTTTTTCCCATCTCTCTTTACGTCCAAAAAAAAAAAAAATCCTATCGTCCAGGAAGGCCTAAACGCTCCGGACAATCTGTAACTCATCTAAAGCTCAATTACTGCGGCGTCTGTTTCAGTCATGCCCAAAGATTCCCAAAGGCACCGTCTGCCGCAGCGCCGACTGTACAGTGGGCGCCCCGTTAGGCATCGGTTTGATTGGCTCTGACTGGCCTCTTCGGCCAGAAAGGCTCTTTTAGTGGCTGGACTCCCTGCCGGGGATACAGGTGCTGGCCTAGCTTGCCACTGGAACCGGGCCCGGGTGCAACCACCACCTGTGGGTATTGTGGCCGGGACACAGGGCCCGGCGCTGCCACCCCGGGATGCCCTGCACGACCCACACACACTGCCAGGTGTGGGAGGGAGTCGGTAAATTAGTCCAGAGGGGGCTGGGGCCAACTCCCAGCACCCCAAGGCCTCTGCCGGTTCAAAGTTGACCTGGCCTGAGAGTGGCCTCCCAAGTCGCTCCACCCCCTGCGAGGTTGTGAGCCAGGGGACTCGCTGGGATAGGGGTGGGGGCCATCCACAGGGGATCGGCAGGGGGCAGAGAGGCAAAACTGTTCCCTAACCCTCTTCCCAAACTTGGGGCACCTTCTGGGCAGCAGGCAAGGGTTTCTTCTCCAGTGTCTCATCAAGGCCCGACACCAAAAGCGAGACACCCTGGAGCAGTCCAGCATCGCTTTAAAAAAAAAATCTATTTAACCCAGCATCGGAAAGCCAACATTGGCAGGGAATGCCGGCCACCTGCGCCAAGGGGAGGGTACGCCGGACGTAGGGACAGTGTGCCGTGGGGTAGGGGTGAGGCCCAAGAACCTAGGCGGGCGCCAAAGAAGACGCGACCCTGCGGTGCAAGGTGCCAAAGCCTCCCCCCCCCCCACCGCAGCATATGCGAGCTTGGTGGTCCGGGAGGGTTCAATGCTGGGGAGGACTGGCGGAAGATGTGGGAGGGGTCCCCGAAGAGTGGCCCGGGAAGCTTCACAGGAGTAAACACTGAGGCAGAGGGCTCTGCCCCAAGGGGTGCAGGCTGCCAGTGCCCCGCCGAGTCACTCACCGGCAGGTCCACGCTCACTTCGGTTCCGTCGAGCAGGAAGACCCGGCAGTAGAGAGTGGCCTTGGCCGCTCCGGAGGCGGAGATGTGCACAGCCGCGCCGCCGGTGAGCAGGGGCCCGCCGCCGGCCGGGAACACGCTGCCCCCAGGCGCGGCGGGCAGCACCGAGGAGCTGGCGGCGGCGGCCGGGCCCCCTCGCGGCCCCCCGTCGCGCTCGTCCCCCAGCCCGGCGGCCCCGCGCCCCGCCGCGCCCCGCGCGTAGCGCTGCATGGAGCGGCGGCCAAAGGTCCGGCGCAGGAACCGCAGCATCCTGGCCGGGGGCGCCCCCTGCCTCCGCCCCCTGCGCTACCGCTGCGCCGCCGCCCGGGAGCGCCCGGCGACGCCGTCAGTGCCCGCCGCGCCGCGCCGCCTCCCACGGGCTGCGGCCCGGGGCTCGCTCCCGCCCCAGCCGAGGCCGAGGCCGCGCTCCGGCCGCCCGCGGGGCGCGTCGGCCCAGCCAGCGCCCGCCGCGAGTAGCCGCGCGGGAGAGAGCGCGCACGGTCGGCTCGGGGGACCGTCCCGCTGCGGTCGCCTCTGCGCGCTGGATGGGGCGGGCGGTCGGTGCCGGCTGCTGCGTAGCTGCTGTCGTCCCCCCCACCTCCCCCTAAAAAGCGCTGCAGGGGGACCCGGCTGCGGGCTGCTCCCGCGCCGCGCGCCGGCCGAGGGCCAGCCGGAGCAGAGCGCCTGCGTGCTCCCGGCGCGCTCGCTCCCACTCGCGCCGCGCCCGGCCCGAGGAGGCCCCGCCGAGCGCCCGCTCTCGGGGCGCCTTTTCCTGCGCCCGCAGCCCCCGCCTCCCACCTGGGAGGGCTGCACCTCCAGCCGCCGCCGCCGCCGCCGCCGCCGGCACTGCAGCACGCCCTCCTCCCCCGGGGCTGCGCCGGGCCTGTGCTGCCCCCTGCCGGCCCGAGTGCCCCCTGCTGCTGTAGGTGCGCTCACGTGCGTACACGTAGGTGAGCACACACGTGTTTCCGGGCTGGCAGGACCCCCTGAGAAGTTGAGAGTCTCCCCCCCCCCCGCCCCACCTCCTTGGTCGGATGGATGGAGAGAACGAGGCTGCCTCCTCCCTGGGAAAACTTGTCCCTGGGGGCAAAAAACAACACTTCCCTTGGTGAAAGAAAAACCAAAACACAGCGACACTCAGTTTCTCCCTTCTGCAGAAGATGTGGAGTGGGCGACCTACAAGGACCCGCCCCCGATACTTAATTAAATTCTATCAGTTTGAAAATCTCAGCAGTGACTGCAGCTTTAACCTTCCACTCCAATGGACTCGTTCCAAATAAGAAAAGCGAGGCCTGCGAGGAGGGGAAGTACTTTTCCGTACTCCTCAGGAGACACCCTACTTCCAGGACCTCGCTCACGCCCAGAATTGAGGCAAGGGTTTGCATAAACAATGGCTACTGAGAAGGTTGGTCAAGGTTGGACAGACTTCTGGGAAGCGAAGTAGAACCGGGGCCATGAGAATGAATTGCATGGGGCGCGGGGAGGAAACTGGAAACAGAGAATTGTCAGCTGGAGACAGAGCGAATTGCTGACGAGCAATGCCCACAGGTTCGGGGTTTGCCCGTGCTGCAAAATGAGGAATGTAGGAAATGAGGCTGGGGGGGCGCAGACCTTTGGGGGAGAATAACGCTACCGTTTATCAGGCCCTAATTTTGTGACAGACACTAAGTCCTTCCCATACGCTCCAGTTTAGCCTGCTGGCATATAGGCTGTTATCCCCGTTATACAAAGGAGGAAACTGAGGTTTAGAGAGCTGAAGGGACAGACACACGGACTCATTGGCCGGACTCCAGAGCTATAGATGGCACAGGTAACATGATCCAACAGCAAGTGGCAGTTTGGGAGAGAGTCGGGGGAAGCACTGGCCCCAGCAAAACAGACAGAAAAGACAAGGGCCGAATGTAGGAGTCTTTCCAGAACAGAAATTTACTGAAAGCCAGGCATTGCCTTAAGGTGATTTCATCCTTTGCATTTTCATTAACCCTCTTTCCAACGTTACCAGACAGTTCGATTTATTTCCATTCACTTAGATGGATTTTGGAGCTTAGGTATAATATGCTTGCCTCGGGGTCTGCGAGCTGCCTGGCATCATTCTGTGATATTATGGGGACCACCCATGTGACAGTATACTCTGAGAGGCATCTACTAATGAGTTCTCACCTACATGACAGATTTAACAGATATTATTCACAAGCTGGTGTAGCCTGGGTCAGCTGACCGGTCTCTGCTGCTATCTCCAGGAATGCTACCTTAGAATGAGTGATAGCCACTCAATTGCGTTTCACACTTGCATTGTTGGGTTTCACCATATGTGGCAAAGGGGGGGTTACTTCACCATTATAACCAATGGAATCAAAAGGGGACTTTATTAGGAGACGGGAGGGTCAGAGTTAGAGAAGGCGCTGTGACAAGGCAACAACTGTGCAAGGTGGGTCATAACCCCCACTTGGGAGGGGTGGGGTCACAAATTAGATATTGGCATAATAAATCATCACAGTAACAAAACCACAGTTATGAAGTAGCGGTGAAATAATTTTATGGTTGGGGGCCACCACAAACGTGAGGAACCTATTAAAGGGTTGCAGCATTAGGAAGGTGGAGAACCACTGCTCTAGAAGATTTAAAAAGGAGTGAGTTATGCCTGGGAGTCTACGAGGAATTGCAAAATGTTGACTTCAGCCTATAAGGTCCATCTCAGGCTCCAGAAAGGTAAAATAACCCTTTCCTGTTGACTTAAGCCACCGTGTCTGCATATATATGTTTATCTCAGCCAAGTAGGAGCCAAAGCAGATGTGCTACATGGTATCCGTGTGGAGCATCACAACTTTCAAAGCCACCCATCTCACGAGCATCGCCCCGTGTGTGTGGTTTTTTTTTTCAGAGCCTCTCTCCCGTTGGACTCCAGGCTCCATTAAGACAAGACTTTTTTTTTTTACCGTCTGTGTACCCACGCTCAGCACCTGGCCCAGGCTGGTGAGTAGCAAGCACTCATCGCATGCTGTTGAATGGACACAGGACCCCACGCCCTCTTCCTAGTGGTTCTGTAAGGTACACTGTGTTATTTCCTCTTAGAGATGAGGAAGAGGAAGGTGAGGAGAGCCTAGATCCCCATACTTGTGACTGTTGGGATCTAACGGCAGTGCCATCCTGAATTGCGTGGGGATTCCTACATTCCTAATGGATCTCGTCCCATTCGGCTCTTACGTGGTGGAGAAACAGATATCCGGGTGTGGCTTTAATGACAGCTCTTGTCACTGAAGTTTCAACCTCAGAATTTGAGCTTTCAGTGAGCAAACTTGCATTTCACAGTCACGGGACGGTGTGCTCCAACAGCCGCCCTATCTACCCCAAAGTCCCTAACTCTTTTATCAAGTCTAGGAACCAACCTCTCAAAGATTCTAGTAGTCTTTTCGTGGACCCCCACCCCCACCCCGTCATGAGTAATGAGTCAGCCAGAGCTGCCTGCATATGAATGCACCTTTCTTTTTTATCTATTTGTGTGTATGCATGCAGAAGCCAGAGACCAATGTCGGGGGGTTTTCCTTAGTCACTCGACCTGATTTTTGAGACCGGCTGTCTGGCTGAACCTGAAGGCCACGGACTGAGATAGAAGGAGACAGTCCCAGGGATCCTGTCTTCTCAACTTCCCCAGCACTGGGATTGCAGGCGCATACTGCCATGCTTGGCTCTTCTGTCCGGGTTCTAGGGATTAACGTCTGGTCTTCATGCTTGCACGGCCTGCGCTTTACCCACTGGGCCGTTTCCTCTGCTCCCAGATCATCACTATTATTATTATTATTATCATGAATACAACATCCTGCCTCTATGTATGTCTGCACGCCAGGAGAGGGCACCAGATCTCATTACGGATGGTTGTGAGCCACCATGTGATTGCTGGGAATTGAACTCAGGACCCCTGGAAGAGCAGTCAGTGCTCTTAACCTCTGAGCCATCTCTCCAGCCCCCAGAGCATCACTCTTGAATGACGTCTCCATCCTTAAAGGAGTCGTCATCAGAACCCTGTTGCTATGGCCTGTGTCCTTTCAAAATTCAAGAGGTGGGGCCTTTGGGAGGTGATTATGCCGTGAGGACTCTGCTTCCTTGAGTAAAATTAGTGTCTTTGCAAGAGACACTGTAAGTTACAGTGTCTTGCCCTTTTGGCCATGGTAGGACACAGCAAGGCATCACCTGTACTGCAGACCAGAGGCCCTCACCAAACACCTCGTCTCTTGACACCTTCGTTTTGAGCCTCCCAACTTCCTGATAGTATAGGAAATAAATCTGTGTTGTTGTTTGTGGTGTTTTGTTGAAGTACCCTGAATGAACTTAGACACCGGCGTTTCTCCTGCATTTCTGCCTAGAACCCCCTCGGAGATCCTCAGTAGAGTCTATACTGACTTGCAGATCTTCTCCTCGGCCACAGGCAGTGGTTTCACCTTAACTCTGAAAGATGGTACAGAACAGGACCCACAGCATGGCCTCCTTGCTATCTCCACGTTTCTGGCTATCAACATGTCATGACACTTCCTGTAGACTTCCCCCCTCCAGAGTAAACAAAGCTCTAATTAAATAACCTCTAGCCTTGTTTCTAAGGAGCTTCTGAGAAATGTTCCATTTGACCCAATCCTTTGTCTCCTGGATTGAGGTTCATTGAAATTGTGCAGGAAGTCCCATTGGGTTCCTTTCCCTCCCTCGAGAGAAGATGGCCCTTGAATGTATGTCCCTCCTTCCTCCTTTGTGGCTTCATCTTTCTGCAACATTCCTTACGGTGACCCCGTAGTGCAGATGCTCCACACACGTCAGCGTCACCTTTCATGGGCTCGTGGATGTGCACCTGGTCGCACAGGCCAGACATCAACTGTACGCCATTCCTCAGACAGTGTCCACTAGAAACACTGTCTCTCTATCCTGCCCCTTGCTGAATGGGCTAGGATAAGGCTGGCCAGTGAGGCCAAGGGATCCACCTCCCCAATATTGGAGCTACGAGCACTTGCTACCACTGCTGGCCTTCACGTTTTTCTTTAGTGTGGGTCTGGAAATCAAACTCAGGTCCTCACCCTTGAAGTGCAAACAAGCAAGTTACCAAGTGAGCTCTCTCTCCTGAGTGGACAGCTATGGCTTCTACCAAGCCAATACTCATTTTCCTTCCTTGAGTTACCACGCAGAACAACTCTGTCCGACTTGACTCAAGGGCTTAAAGGTCTAGAGCAGTGGTTCTCAACCTTCCTGATGCTGGGACCCTTTAATGCAGTTTGATGGCCCCAACCATAAAACTATTTCATTGC